GTTGCTCTAGACTTGGTGGGTCCACTACTTAACTGCTATTGAAGTTTTGTTAGTGTTATCATTATCATTATCATTATCATTATGGTTCTACAAAGGAAAATTTTCATTGTTTATGTGCTGTGGCAACTTCATTGCCTTTTGTGAATATTTGTGTGAATAGCATTGGTATTTCAGCCATTTATGTTCCCGGTGGTTTCCTGAGCTATGTTTAATTGGATTGTGATATTTGATTTAATTAAACTATTACTAATGATTGAAGTCACATTTGAACGTCTAGATAACTATTGTGTTCGAAAGTTGACGATGTTTTGGGTTATCTTAATGGAGGGTTGAATATTTTTTTGTTTTATTTTTAAGATAACGTTCTCCTTGAAATTGTTTGTGTCATGAGAAACACAATCTCGTATGGTCACCAATTAGGCACAATTATGAAGCTAGGTTATTTATTATTTAATATTGTATCTTTAGCTATTGTTGATTTGCTGAAAGATTGCTACTTTGTTTTCTTTTTATAAAATTGTCTTTTTGTTTGTTTTAACTGGAAAAGTTATGGTTATAGAGAGAAAGATGGAAACTTACTTTGTTTTATTTTTACTTTATAAAATTCATAGCTATAAAAGGTAAATTCATCAGTTAATTGGGTTTTTTTATTTAAAAAATGTTTTCAAATTAATGGTTTCTTTATGTTCATGGTTAGGATTTGAATTTTTTCAATTAATTGACTTTGAAATTGAGGAACAATTTAAAATTCCCCTGTTGTTTTCATTAAACATGGTGACCTATACGTCCACTTTTATAATTATTTAACAGTGTTCAATATGAGGGGAATTGGGATTTGGTGAGGGGCACTATGTATTGTAATGAATATAGGTTGAAAGATTTTGTTTGAATGGAGTGACAATGCATATTGGAATGGTGCATGGTAGTACTTTTACAGTGATATTGGTGAGTAATTAGATTTTGGTAGTAGAATTGCAGTTCCAGTCCACTTTAATGTTTTGCAAAATACTGGACAACCACAAAGAGACTGGAATTGCACACCTAGTTGTTTCAAAGTTGATTTGCATACTTTGCTTTCCAGCCTATTTCTTTATATGTAACAGATTTTAGATCACTACTTTTGGTTAAGATTCAGTTGCTCCTAGTGGAAATCAATATGTTGATCTCTTTCCATTGTCCAACTCTTTCCTATTTCAGGTTGAAATAAAAAAGATAAACATTACACATTCACTACCTAGGAGGCACTGAGGTAAGCTTAGAATAAACCAGCAGACCCTTTTAAAATATATATAATTATAGAAATTATTAAGTTTACCTGTCGTGGAAAGGGAAATCTCTTCCAGCACTTTCCCATGCTCTGGCACTTCATCATAACACCAAATGAGAGAAATAAAATAGTTCACCAACAATATATTCAAATGGTAGAATTATATACTTCGATGATATCAAAATAAGGTATTCATGCATTTTTGGTGGTTCTTTGTTTTTTTTATTAGCGAGATAAGTTTAGTTTGTTGTTGTTGTTGTGAAAAGAACCATACAAAGAGAGAGAGAAACAATCGCAAACTAACAGTTGTCAAAATAGAGTTGGTTTCATAATAATTGTTTATATTTTGATATTTTGGTTTTTTATTGTTTGTTGCACATTTTTTGGAATACATTAGTTGGTGTCCTTTGGTTTTACTGAATTTCCATGCCATTGGTATGTTGTTGGTGAGAGTTAGGAGATAAGAATTTTTTTTGGAGTGCATTTGTTGGTGCCCTTTGGTATGTTATTGGTATGTTGTTAGTGAATTACATTAATTGGTATCCTTTGCTTGATGTGATTTGTTGTTTTTGTATTTTATGAATTAGCTGGAAAACTCAGATTACTTAACTTTCTAGCTGGAAAACTCAGATTACTTAACTTTCTAAAATGATTTGTTTTAGGAATAGTATATTTGTTTTTGTATTGTGGAGGAGGGTTGCTGACTTTGGGGTTGATATTAATGTTAGGTACATTTTTTAAAAAAAGTTTTTGGACCAAGTATCTTATTGTAAATTGTAATTTATCACTTCAAAATTGAAATACTACTAATAATGTTAGGACTTAGGGTTATTGCTATGCCTGCATGTGTCCACTCACCTTGCATTTATGTTTGTTTATTTTCTATCATGTTCGGATGCCATCTTCATACTAGCTTTTTTTTCTCCGTGATAGCTGGGAGAAATGAATGAAAAATAGCATCTTAGCTACCGTTATAGCAGACATGGTTATTTTATTAGTCAATCTTTGTAAACATGGATATTGTATTTTTGTTTTCAATTGGAAAATTTTCAGGTTTTGGAGGTTTGAAAGGGCTGTGCAGGTCCATTGACGAGTCTTTTATTTTAATTTTTTACCTTGACATCTTCAAATCTTTGTTTGGGGAGCTTGAATCTGATTTATTAACCTAGAATCAGATTTTTGGTTGGGGTTAGAATTGTTAGAAAATTTTACTGAAAATATTTACTACATTATATATGTTAAAATTTTACATAGAGAGTTTATACTTTTGTGATAATCAGCTTCAGTTTTTTTTTGAATTACATTTCACATTGACATATTTCTTTTGGTTGAAATATAGGTTTTTAAATGATTTTGACGAAGCCTAAAGGATTATTGGAACTGGCATGAGTGATTTGAAGTTCATATATTGCAAGACAACTATCTCTCTTAGCTTTTTCTATTTTTTTTTTTTTTAACTATTATTATTATGGCTATGCTTCAGTAGAAACTTTTGGCCTTGCTCAGGGAAAGGAAAAAGTTGTAATTTTGTTAATTAAATTACCCTCATTTGTTCTTTGTGGAGACCCAAGCGATTTTGTAGTGGAAAATATATTTATTGGGTTTCAATGAAATATGAATATGTTAGAAATTTGAGAGATGTAACTAAGGTAGGAATTGTAATAAATTCCACGGATGAAAATTTATGGGATGATGGAAGTCTTTTACTGATGTAACGATTTAAAAACAACGCGTAAAAGAATTAAAAAAAATTCTTTTTATGTAGAAAAATGATTTCATTTATAAAATACAGACAAAATCAGAATGGACACAAGAAACAACCTAAATTAGAACCTCTTCCATTCAAAGTGACAATAGATGGGCAATTTCATTTCCTAGCATTTTGTCATGAATACAAGCAGATTTAAAACTCCCATCCACTCTTTAATATCAGATCAGCAATGATATTCCTAATAGATGAGAAATTTTCTTCATTACAACTAATTTGTATGGTTAAAAGAAACTACTCTCAACTTGTATGATTCCCAATAGATTTAGAAATTTTTTTCATTAAAACAAATTTGTTTGGTTAAAAGTAAATACCTCAGCCCGTATGCTTTCCAATAGATGATAAATTTTCTTCATTAAAACAAATTTGTTTGGTTAAAAGTAAATATTCCTTAGCCTATATGCAACAAATTCAAGCCATTGGCAAAAGACACAACTTTGAACGCCCTAACTACTTTAATGTTGTCCACAACAGATTCATTTGCAATTCTCTCACTGCTTGATGCCATTTCTCATGAAATCTCTCACAATGATACCAATACCTATCACTCCCATCTTTTAAATTTTTATATATGTTCCTTTTAAATAGTTCACTAAATTCCATCACATTCACATAATAAAAATGTTAATGTGTAAAGTAACTGAAATATTGAATATAACTTAATGCAAGAAAAATGAAGGGCAATGGAAAATTAAAACTCAGCATTATTTATTACAAAGTTAAAGAGGTGTAATAAATTATACATTTAGATAAAAATTTAAATTTAAAAAAAAAAAAAAAAAACTCATTTGAAATCAAGAATTCTTCAAAGTTGATAAAATATCTTTCATTGTAACTTATAGGAAAGTAGGTCGATGGTTTAGATTAAAAACAAATCAAAAAATTAGAATTTAAATTGATAAAATTAAAAATTAAAGTTTGTTTTTTTTTTTTTTACAAAATTCAAACCCTGATTTTTTTTTTTCCCCTTAGAAAAATTACCAATAAAGACATGCTCTGCCTTACCCAAATGCAACTTTATTGAAAACTTGCAAAGAAGCCTTGATGAATGACCTTCAAGACATATACATTTGATTCAATAAATAAATAGGTACAACTAGTTTTTCATGAGAGAGGAAAATTACTATATACTATCTTTGGCCCCGTTTGTTTTCAGTGATAGAAATGAGGGGATTGATAGTGAGAGGATTAATAGTGAGGAGATTGATAGTGAGGGGATTAGTAAAACGGTGGTGCTAGAGACCACTAATTTAGTGGCTCTAAACCCACCACTAATGAGGTGGCAAAGCAAAAAAAAAAAAAAAAAAAAAAAAACAGACACAATATAAACTATGGCAGTGGGTGGGACCCACTGCCACATCACTAGTGGTAGCTCTAATTAGAGCTCCCACTCATTCTCAGTAGTAAAATTGTGTTTGTTTTCATAGTGAGGGGATTAGTAAAATTGTGTTTGTTTTGTTAGTGAGGGGATTGATAGTGAGGGGATTGTTAAATTATTTTTATATAAAATAAATATAAAATAATAAAACAAATAAAATTATGATTTTTACTTAACAAAAAATACAAAAATATTAAACATTAATGTTAACTAAAAAAGCCCAACAAGTTAAAAATAAAAATAAAAAAAATTGAGTTGACCGGTTGACCGGCCGGACTTTCGAGCGGACATCCGGAAACACCCAATCCGAACGGACTAGTTTGCTAATACCATCTTTCACCCCGAATTTCTAATACCCTCGCCCAAGGCCCAACCTTATAGCGATCCCGGGTTTACCCTTGTTGTATAGTGATCCGGAAACATGAGCTATATATACTGTTCATCCATCACAGTCCACTCCGAACTGTGATGCGCCTAAACAAACTGGGCCTTTGAAGACATTAATTTGCCAGCCTAGAAGTAGAAAGGGAAGATAATAGAATGAGTTTCCTATCCTCTCTCAGTAGCTTCTTCCTCCACATTTGCCATCAATGGCATTCTTTCTTCATCCAAACACCATTCTGATCACACGGGAAGGAATTGAGGCCGGGACATTCTACTTTCTCCAAGTAAATTAAATTGGGAAATAACATCATAATGTCTTTCCAAGGCATCTCTAAGTTACTCAAGTACTTCAATTGTAACATTTGAACTGTGGTAGCTACTATTTTGTCCAGATTACACAATAGTCCTCCTCTAATGTAAAGTTTCTTCAAGTTGTTCAAATTGTCAGACCGCAACCAACGGGGTGTATCTATCTCAGGAAAACCCTCAAGCTCTAGTTTTTGCAACGATGAAGGAAGTTTCAATAAGAGAGGAAGTTTTGGATCACGCTGCTCAATGAATGATCTTGTCAGCGTTGTCTGCTTGGAAAATAGTTGTGCTTGCTTAGGTGAATCATCAGTTTTACCTCGTAAAATGCATCCTGACCAAGATATTTTCAACTTCTCTAAATGGTATAATCTTTGTAAATGATGAAGCTGCAAATCTGTTGGAAATTCTTTCATACTTACGGATATGCTCAATTTTCGTAGATTTGACAATTTTGTCAAATTATTGATAGTACATGACTTTTCGTCATTGGAATCTCTAATAATAAATCCCTTAAGGACTTCAAGATTAGATAGTGCACCAAGCCCCTTGGGCATGTGATCTAAAAGGCAACACCCAGATATATCCAAGTGTGTCAAATTTTCAAGCAAGCCAATCCAATCTGGAACCACCTCAAGGTTGTGACACGATTTGAGATCTAGAATTTTAAGACTAGTCAGTTGTGAAATGAATTGAGGAAGCTCTGTAATCAATGAAATTCCTCGAAGGCTAAGAACCCTCAATCGTTTCATATTCTTGAGAAAATTGAGAATTTTAATGTCTGAGACTTCAATGTGATGCGTGACCGAATTCTGCCACCTTCCCAAGTAAACAACTTTCAAATCCGTGCCCCTTTTGAAAATAATTTCATGTCTTCCATCAATAATAGCCGCATCAACGTTGACGATGCTGCTGTCCCAAAAGGTGAGGCCTCGATACGTCAAATTACCAAACTGATCAACTGTTGATTCAGTGGTTAAAACACAACGAATGGCAGGGGGCATCCTGTAGCTATCCACAATCAATCCACAATTTTTGTAGATAGGCTCGATGAAGCCCTTTGCAGTAAGCCCATCCAAGATACCGTTGGCATAAAGCTCTGCTTGTTCTGCTTGGAATGGAATGCACCCGCTAATGCACCAGTAAATCACAAACCTTTTCTTCATGGTAGCCATTTCTGGGAAAATCAAGAAAAAATCCAAAATTTTTTTTTGTCCCCAATGGAGGCTATGGAAAGACATTTTCAGCTGTGCAGAGGTGTGATCAAACTTTGGCTCCTTGTACAAGCTGTGCAAATAACCGGACTTGTTTACATCGACTTGGTAGTTGCTGCTGCTACCGTTAATGGATCCATCAGACCATGGTTTCCGATGTGGTTTTGAATCATCATCATAATGGATTTTAAGCTTGGAGGGAATCTGCGATTTCAACTTCTTGACAGACATTTTCAGTTGGTCAAGTTCGTTAGTATCACTCCCTCCTTCTCTTGTTTTGATCTCCTCAAATTTCTCACAAGCCTGGTTGATTTGCACATTCATACGATCTACAAACTTTTGAATCTGTGTCATGGTCTCTTTCATGAAATTAAGATCTCGACCAATCATGTTAGTGAGATCATGATCTGCAACTTGGTAGTCGTCGTTGTTGTTTGGGGTGGTGGTTGTTAAGTGGATTTGGTTGGGAGATACTACTGTCCATGGCTTTGAAAGGAACTATTACCAAAACAGGGTCGTGTTGGAGTCTTGAGAGAGAGAGAGAGAGAGGACAGGTTTTTTCTTTGATGGTCTGGTCTGGGTTTCAAAGAGAAAAATGGATCATGAGAGAGAGTGGACACGTTTTTTCTTTGATTGTCTGGGCTGGGTTTCAAAGAGAGAGATGGATCATGAGAGAGAAGAAACGCTGTGACACCATAAGAGAGAGAGAGAGAGAGACGTAGTGTGTGTCTCGGCTGATTTCCCTATCACATTTGCAAAATTTTATTCCCACTTTTTATTTTTATTCTTATAAAAACGACTTTTGAAAAGCTGTATTTTGCGTTTAAAATAATAAAAAAAATTTAAAGATAGAAAATCGGCTTTGAAAAAGTCAAGTTTTAATTAATTTTGAATTAATTACAAATGGTTTTGATTTACACTAAATTTCTTTTTTAATTTATATTTTTAACATAACTATTTTTTGACCAAAAATATTTTTAATACAAAAACGATTTTAGAAAAATTGTTTTATATTTGTTTTCCATGTGGGAAGGTTGTTGGACTTGGGAACCAAAAGATAAGAGAGAGAGAGAGCAACAATTCTAATACATTCAAAGATGAGTTTCAAAAATATTTTTAATAAAAAACGACTTTAGAAAAATCATTTTATATTTGTTTTCCCATGTGAAGGTTGTTGAGAGCAACAATTCCAATCCATTCAAAAGATGAGTTTTTTTAAAAAATTATAACACAGACAAAGCATGATCCATATAATACTCCAATAAATCTCATCAAGATTCCACATTCAATTACTTATTATGCCCCTGTTTGGCATGAGTTAAATAGAGATTTCTTGGCTAAAATATTCACAAAAAGATAAAATAAATTTTTTAGTTCAATAAAACAAAGGGATTGTTTGGGAAGTGGGATTTTTGCTTAATTTAGGCTAAAATTCACAAAAAAGACAAACTAGACTAAAATAGTTAATAAGATAAAATGTCACATCAAACCCATAATCATTTAATTTTGTCTCGCAAACATCACATCCAAGCACAAAGAAATCCAACCATCTTTCCAAACACAAAAATTTTAACCTACTAAAATAGTTAAAAACTAAAATAACCTACTAAAATAGTCAAAAACTAAAATAGCCTACTAAAATAGTAACTTCCCAAACACTCGCAAAATGTTATATCTAAATCATAATTATTTTATTTTTTCTTTCACAAAAGTCTCATAAACGAGATTTTTTAACCACAGGCTAAAATAGTCAAAAAGTCAACCCACATTCCAAATGAACCCTATATAAAACATATATTGTGGAGGTTTGGGAAATTGTTATTTTAATAGGCTATTTTAGTTTTTGCCTACTTTAGTAAATTAAAATTTTTGTGCTTAGAAAGATAATTAGAATTTTTTATAATTGGATGTATTTTCAACTTAAAGGTTATTTTAATTTATGTTTTCAACATAAATATTTTTTGACCAAAAATACTTTTAATACAAAAACGATTTTAGAAAAGCGTTTTATAACCAAACACACCACTCAAAATTACTCAAAACTCAATTCAAAAATTAATTTCAAAACTCATAATCAAACACACAACTCAAAACTCAAAACCAAACTCATTTCAAAATTCTATTTTTAAAAAATATTTTTTTTTGTTTTTTAAAATTATTTTTAGAATCATGATTTGAGTGTAGAGTCGTGTTTTGAGTCATTAGTTTTGAAAAGAGAAAATTTATTTGGTTATGAGTTTTGAAAAGAGTTTGAGTTGTATTTTGAGTTTTGAGTTGTTTTTTAAATTTTTTTGGTCAACTAGCCAGACGTCGTCCGGGGGGAACATTTTGGGGGGATGACCGGGTAAACATGTTTTCAAATGTGGATGTGGAATCAATGTTTGAAAATTGTTATCAAACACAACACTCAAACCTATATGTAGAAAAGGAGGAGACGATGGAAGATCAGGAATGTGTGTGTATATATAGAGGCTGTTTGGGAGGTGGGATTATAGCTTAATTTAGGCTAAAATTTACAAAAAGATAAAATAGGTTAAAATAGTTAAAATAGTTAAAAACTTACTAAAATAACAACTTTCAAAGCCCTCACAATATATGTTTTTATAATAAGTAATTGAACGTGAAATCTTGATGAGATTTGTTGGAATATTATATGAATTATGTTTTGTCTGTGTTGTGATTTTCTAAAGAAACCCATCTTTGAATGCATTGGAATTGCTACTCTCTCTCTCTTCTTTTGGTTCCCAAGTCCAACAACCTTCCCACGTGGGAAAACAAACGGGAAATTTTTTTTTTGTGAAAACAGTTTTTCTAAATCCATTTTATAAAACGACTTTTCTAAAACCGTTTTTGTATTAAAAATATTTTTGGTCAAAACCGTTTTTAATTAATTCAGAATTAATTAAAACCAACTTTTCCAAAGCCGATTTTCTGTGTTCAAATTTTATTATTATTTTAATTGCGAAACACGACTTTTTAAAAGTCATTTTCTGAAAAATGGCATTACTAAAGCCGTTTTACCCTACAATGGGAATAAACATAAAAGCCACCCTAGAGTGGGAATAAAGTTTTGAAAATGTCATAGTCAGAGAAATCAGCTGTGTGTCTGGAAGAGAGAGAGAGAGATGCCAAGCGAGATTGAGAAAAGGTGCAGAAGAGATAAAGAGGGAGTGGCCTACTATAGATGTTTACCGAGGCAATAATTGATGAGACGCGGGGAAGAAATATGGCCCATTGGTCGGGACCAAGGTTGTTGAACCGCGTTATCTTGAGAGAACTTGTGTTTATTTAATGGTGTTTACAAGAGTGAAAGGGATCTAAAGGCTTCTGCACGTGCTTTTCAAGTTGAGGCGGAAGTATTCTCTAACCCCATTGGTAATGATTATTTAGAATTTTTTCATGAGGGATGGAACAACAAAAAAAGAAAAGCCTTTTGAGCCTTTGTTTGGGAAGTGGGTTGGCTTTTTTGGCTATTTTAGTCTGTGCTAAAAAGTTTGGTTTGGGAAGGGCTTTTTGGTTTTTTTGACTTTTTTTATGAGAGAAGAGTGTAATGATTATGGGTTGGATGTGATGTTTTGTTTGTTGTGGCTAAAATAACCTATTTTGTCTTTTGTGGCTACTTTTGGTTAAGATTCAGTTGCTCTTAGTGGAAATCAATCTGTTGATCTCTCTCAATTGCCCAACTCCTTCCTATTTCAGGTTGAAATAAAAAAGATAAACACAACACGTTCGCTAGCTGGGAAGCACTGATTGAGGTAAGCTTAGAATAAATTGACAGACCCTTTTAATATATATATATATATATATAATCAAAGAAATTATTAAGTTTACCTGTCGTGGAAAGGGAAATCTCTTCTAGCACTTTCCCATGCTCTGGCATTTCATCATAACACCAAATGAGAGAAATAAAATAGTTCACGTACAATATATTCAAATGGTAGAAATATATGCTTCGATGATATCAAAATAAGGTATTCATGCATTTTTGGTGGTTCTTTTGTTTTTTTTCATTAGCGAGATAAGTTTAGTTTGTTGTTGTTGTGAGAAGAACCATACAAAGAGAGAGAAATAATCGCAAACTAAAAGTTGTCAAAGTAGAGTTGGTTTCATAATAATTGTTTATATTTAGATATTTTGGTTTTTTATTATTTGTTGCACTTTTTTTGGAGTACATTAGTTGGTGTCCTTTGGTTTTATAGAATTTCCATGCCATTGGTATGTTGTTGGTGAGAGTAAGGAGATAAGAATATTTTTTGGAGTACATTAGTTGGTGCCCTTTGGTATGTTGTTGGTGTGTCGTTAGTGCATTGCATTAATTGGTATCCTTTGCTTGATAAGATTTGTTGTTTTTGTATTTTATGAATTAGTTGGAAAACTCAGATTACTTGACTTTCTAGAATGATTTGTTTTAGGAATATTATATTTGTTTTTGTATTATGGAGGAGGGTGGCTGTCTTTGGGGTTGATATTAATGTTAGGTACATTTTTTAAAAAAAGTTTTTGGACCAAGTATCTTATTGTAAATTGTAATTTATCACTTCAAAATTGAAATACTACTAATAATGTTAGGACTCAGAGTTATTGCTATGCCTGCATGTGTCCACTCACCTTGCACTTATATTTCTTTATTTTCTATCATGTTCGGATGCCAGCTTCATACTAGTTTTTTTATCTCCATGATAGCTGGAAAAAAAGAATGAAAACTAGCATCTTAGATACTCTTACAACATACATGGTTATTTTATTAGTCAATCTTTGTAAACATGGATATTGTATTTTTGTTTTCAATTGGAAAATTTTCAGGTTTTGGAGGTTTGAAAGGGCTTTGCTGGTCCATTGATGAGCCTTTTCTTTTAAATTTTTGCCTTAACATCTTCAAATCTTTGTTTGGGGAGCTTGAGTTTGATTTATTGAGCTAGAATCAGATTTTTTGTTGGGGTTCGATTTGTTAGAAAATTTTACTGAAAATATTTACTACATTATATACGTTAAAATTTTACATGGAGGGACTTTATACTGTTGTGATAATCAGCTTCGGTTTTTTTTTGAATTACATTTCACATTGACATATTTCTTTTGGTTGGAATATAGGTTTTTAAAGGATTTTGACAAAGCCTAAAGGATTATTGGAACTGGCATGAGTGATTTGAAGTTCATATATTGCAAGACAACCATCTCCCTTAGCCTTTTTTTTTTTTTTTTTTTTTTTTCAATTTTATTATTATGGCTATGCTTTAGTGGAAACTTTTGGCCTTGCTCGGAGAAAGGAAAAGTTGCAATTTTATTAATTAAATGACCCTCATTTGTTCTTTGTGGGCACCCAGAGTGATTTTGTAGTGGAAAATATATTTATTGGGTTTCTATGAAATGCGAATATGTTAGAAATTTTA